ACTGACTTTCAAGAAAAAATGCATGCATTTACACTGTCACATATTTATTATGAGTTTTACTGATAGAACTATTACACATAATTTACAAATAATAATGAAATATAAAATACTCTTTATTTGCATTCCATATAACTGATTCGTTCTAATAGAATACTTCATTAATTTTTGAAGAACTTTTGTATCCATAGCCAATCTCTGGTGCAACTCAACTATAATTTGACAAATACATTTATAAACCCACCTGTTTTCTGATAAGTTAAAAATTCATTTTAATCAACTTGATATTTTTGTTGTTGTTGTTAAAGTATTTGCCATTCCACCATAAATAATATAAATTAAAATAATATGTCTTGCTGGGCACAATGGCACACACTTGTAATCTCTGCTACTTGGGAGATGAAGGCAGAAGAATCCCAAGATTTGGACAGCCTGGAAAACTTATCAAGACGCTGTCTCTAAATTATTTTTAAAAATTAATTAGTTAAAAGGCTGGAGATATGGCTCAGTGGTAGAGTGCCCTTGGGTTCAATCCCCAGTTCCACAAATAATAAAAATAACAAAAATTAAATTAATTAATTAATTCAAACCTCGTTTAGCTTTAGCACTACATATGCTATTTATCATTGATGTGAACAAAATCTTTCCTGAATCAAGTAATAATATTTAAATACTGAAAGGCTCTGTCCTCAAAGTTCTTGTGTTATCCCCAATGTAATGACTATTGACACTATACCTTTGTATTTCCTTTGCAGTCTGGGAGATTAAATCTAGGGCCTCCTGCTAGACAAGGGTTTTACTTAACTTGGGGAATCTCCTGTGACCCTGTGAGTGTTTCACATACACAGCCTGGCATTATCTGCAGCACTATCAGCTCTGAGATAGCTGGAGTCCAAGAAGGTTCCTGTTTTTTTTATTATTACTCATCTTCTTTTAGATTTTAGGATAGCACCACTTGACTTGCACTACTGAAGCAGCTACTCCATTTCCATAATTTAGAGGCAAGACTAAGCACATACATTAAACAACTGGGGGAAAAGTAAAAGCCACAATAATGTTGAGATTGTAGGACTAGACCAGGGATTTAAACCAGAGAAAACTCACTGTTGTCTGGAGGAGTCAAAGGTATTTCATGTTGACCTGAACTAGAACATAAAGGAAGGCTGGGCTTTGGCCTGAGGTGGCTGGGATAGTGGCATAAAGGGAAGTAAAGAGGAATAATTGTGGGAGGAATAGTAGAAGGTAGAGTTGACTAAACGGAGAATCTATAAAAGGCCGGGGTGTGAAGCATAAACTTTGACCAATGAATAATCAAAGGCCATCTTATCTCTGCATGCAAACAAATGGCTTTAGGAATGATTTTGGACTCAATATCTTTATTTATTTTTATGTGGTACTGAGGACTGAA